TGTGCCCTTGAGAAGAATGTGTATCTTGTTGCTCTTGAATGCAGGGTTCTGTAGATATCTGTTAGGTCCCTCTGTTTTAATACATTGTTCAGTGCCTCTGTCTCTTTACTTATTTTATGTCTGGTTGAGCTGTCCTTTGGAGTGAGTGGTGTGTTGAAGTCTCCTTCAATGAATGCATTGCATTCTATTTCCCCCTTTAATTCTGTTAGTATTTGTTTCACATATGTATGTGATCCTGTGTTGGGTACATAGATATTTATAAGAGTTATATCCTCTTGTTGGACTGACCCTTCTATCATTATGTAATGTCCTTCTTTGTCTCTTGTGACTTTCTTTGTTTTGAAGTCTATTTTGTCTGATACAAGTACTCCAACTCCTGTTTTTTCTCCCTATTAGTTGCATGAAATATCTTTTTCCATCCCTTTACTTTCAGTTTGTGTATGTCTTTGGGTTTGAAGTGAGTCTTTTATAGGCAGCATATAGATGGGTCTTGTTTTTTAATCCATTAGTGACTCTATGTCTTTTGATTGGTGCATTCAAACCATTTACATTTAGGGTGATTATCGATAGGTATATACTTATTGCCATTGAAGGCTTTAGATTCGTGGTTACCAAAGGTTCAAGGGTAATTCCCTTACTATCTAACAGTCTAATTTAACTCACTTCATGTGCTATTACAAACACAACCTAAAGTTTCTTTTTATTTTTCCTCCTTGTTCTTCCTCCTCCATTCTTTGTATGTTATGAATCATATTCTCTACTCTTTGTCTATCCCTTGGGTGACATCTATTTAGCCTTAGGAATACTTCCATCTATAGGAGTTCCTCCAAAATGCACTGTAGAGGTGGTTTGTGGGTAGTAAATTCTCTCAACTTTTTCTTATCTGAAAATTGTTTAATCCCTCCTTCAAATTTAAATGATAAGCTTCCTGGTAGAGTATTGTTGGTTCAAGGCCCTTCTGCTTCATTGCATTAAATATATCATGCCACTCCTTTCTGGCCTTTAAGGTTTCTGTTGAGAAGTCTGATGATAGCCTGATGGGTTTTCCTTTGTATGTGATCTTTTTTCTCTCTCTAGCTGCTTTTAAAAGTCTGTCTTTATCCTTGATCTTTGCCATTTTAATTTTTATATGTCTTGGTGTTGTCTTCATAGGGTCCCTTGTGTTGGGAGATCTGTGCACCTCCATGGCCTGAGAGACTGTCTCCTTCCTCAGGTTGGGGAAATTTTCAGCAATTACCTCCTCAATGACACTTTCTATCCATTTTTCTCTCTCTTCTTCTTCTGCTACCCCTATAATATGAATATTGTTTCATTTGGATTGGTCACACAGTTCTCTCAATATTCTTTCATTCTTAGAGATTCTTTTTTCTCTCTTTGCCTCAGCTTCTTTGTATTCTTCTCTAATTTCTATTCCATTTACTGTCTCTTCTACTACATCTAATCTGCTTTTAAATCCCTCCATTATATGTTTCATTTCAGATATGGAATTTCTTAATGATTTTATCTCCAACTTAAATTCATTCCTGAGTTATTAAATATTTTTCTTCACTCCGTAAGCAGGTTTATAATTTTTATTCTGAACTCTCTTTCAGGCAGATTGGTGAGTTCAGTTTCATTTGACCCCTTTTCTGAGGTTTGTGAGATTTTGGTCTGAACGATGTTCTTTTGATGTTTCATATTTCTGTGTGGTGCCCACTAGTGCCTAGAAGCTCCAGTCTCTGGAGCTTCTCAGCCCCTAGAGTAAGGCTGGGGGTTGTAGGGGAGCAGAGCTAGTGCCTTGGGGGAAGGAAAGATCTGTTTTCTGATTCCCATTCACTTGTTATGTTTTTATCCACATAGAAATGTGCATTGTAGTGAAGCTTTTCAGGGTATGTATTGTGCATCATTCCCAGAGATACAAGTTCCAAAATTTTCATTTTAACTTCATCTTTGATCTATGCGTTCCTTAAAGGAGAATTTTTATTTTCAAATGGTTGTGTTGTTGTTTACTTTTGGAGTTTTTTGAAGAGGTTATTCTAAAATAGGGCCTGTATGTTGTCCAGCTGGTGAATTTGCTGGGATTCTCTTTGTGATCTAGTGTGTATCATCAATTTGATAAATGTTTTAAGGAAATGAAAAGAATGAAATATTTTTAAAGGTAGAAATGTCATTTATCAGTCTAATAGTTAAATCTTTTAATTAGAGTGCTCAATGTCCTTATTTTTTTCATATCTGATCACTTGTCAAAAATTGAATGGTAATAAAATGCCCCAAATTGCACTGTTTTACTTCCTTCGCTTTTTCTCCAACAGTTTCTGCTCTGTATATATCAATACCATGTTATTTGCTGCTTAGTTTCTGGTTCTATCATATCTTCCTTGTGGAGAGTAACTTTTATTTTTCCTTCATTTACTGGTTTTGTTTTGGAGTTAGGTTTTGGTGGATATTCATGGTCTTACCCCTAATAAGTAATAGTTGTAATTTGCTGAATATACCTTTGCCCATCCTTTAATTGCTTACTTTTCCTGCTATATTATTTAAGATTATCTTTTGCATATGTTGCACATTTAGATATTTTGAAGTGGCCCAATTTCCACCTTTGCATTTTAATACTGAGATTAACCCTTCTTTTTGCTTCTGATTTAATATGCAATATTGAGTCATATTAGCATCACTGTGTTTCATGCCCTGTTTATTTCATGCTTTCCTTCAGTTTCCTTTTACTTATATTTCTCTTTATAGATATTTGCTTAATTTTTGTTGTGATTTGGAAGTCATGCTGTTTTTATATTTCTACTGATTGCTTAAAAATTAACATTTAAAAAATATACTGTAATATGCATACTTATTTTTTCTACATCAATGCAGAAGTGCTATCCATTACCTTCCTCCTCTGCAAAATCAGAAGTGTAGCATGCTCTACTTCCTCTCCTACTACTGCTAACCCCACCCCATTGCCTACTTTTAATAGAAGCTAATCTGGATTATTAGGTCCAGAGTTGTATTAATACATGGCATGAATCTTCCCTTTAAAGAACAGGGTTTTTTAATTTAAACATGAGTTTTTACAGCTGTTGATTAAATAAAACAATGTTGAAAAAGTTTCAGTGCTTACTAACTGTCATTTTTTAACATAACTTCCTCATTTCTGTGTTTTAATTAATCTCTTGTCTAACCAGTGAATTTTTTTTTCTCAGAAGTGAATGTGGGCAGTACATTTTCTGAGAGTTTGCATACAAGAAAAGAACTTTCTGTTGCCAAAGCACATGATCAATAATCTGCTGAGTATAGGTTTTTGCTGGCAGCGTTTTACTCTCAAAAACACTATTCCTCTATTTTTTCCTCCAGGTGTTTGGCAATGGAGGGATAATTCTTATGTCCTGATAGTTTCTTATTTTGATCATTTAGAAAAGTATATCAGGTCAGAGATCCAGTTGTCTTTGGGGAAATAATGAGGCTATCACAACCTTGTGTATTTCAAATAGGACCTTTGCCTTGACCAATTCTTCCCTGTTGTCCTGGCTTGCAAAAGAATCAAGCTCTTATAGGATATATCTTACCTTTTGCCTACCTGCCCATACACAAGAGAAATCATGGCAACACTGGAGTTCACCTATGATAGGAACCATACTGTCAGCTCTCTGCTCGGTTTGAACTGTCCATGCCAGGAGCTAGTCCTGCAGCCCTCTAATTCTTCTGGTGGAGCCTGAAACCATATGTTAGAAAAACAGACCAGTAATTCAAGTGTAGTGCCTTTCATAGATTACAAGTCTATCTTTGCCTCCATCATTCACCTATTAATGTATGTAATAAAAATTATTTTATTTCCCATTCTCATGTTTCCATATTCATGTATACTTCTGAATATGACTTTTGCCCTTCGAAAGAAGAGATGTATGGCCCAGCCTCTCAAGTCTTCATACCACCAGCACAAAACAGTAACTCCTCGGCATAAAACCAGATCACATATATCCATGGAATACATACTGGATGATCCTGCTTTGACTTTCACTGAACTCTACTTGGCTTTCTATGCCATCTGCTTTTAAAGGAAACTTTTCTATGAAACTGATAAATGCATTCATTGTTAGATACTGGTGACACAGCCTGTTAATAACATTGCACAGTTAGGCTCTCACCTGTGTGTTCAGTCTAGGTTTTAACATATATCTTTTCCCTAAAAAGTGAAATTATAAATCTTGTTCTCATGGGCTAGTCTAATCTCTAAAAGTAGGCTTTAACTTGTAGCTTAGTTTCAGTCACTGAGTTCTGCCCTGGTAAGATTGTATCTTTTTTAGTAGGTATTTGTTCTGCTTTGTCTGTATCATTCCTGGTTATCATAGCCTCTCAGCTAGCATAGCGTCTATCTGGTGCTAGATGGCTCGCTCTGACATAAGCTCTTCCTTAGTAGTGGTTCTCATCCTCCAATTCCCCATGTGTCTCTTGGCCTTTGACTGTACCTTTCATCAGAGCCTTCTCATTTCTTTCCAACTGCCCACTTCAGAGGCTCTCCAAAATACCCCACCATACCTCAGGTCCTACATTCCTAAGCCAATTTGCCCTACCATCCACCCAGCCCCCAGCTTTATGTAATACTTACTTTTTGCCAGAATGAAGACAGTTCCCAAGGCTTTATCTGGAATTGCCTATGGTAACTAAGTCCTCTGTGAAGGTAATAATATTTGCAGTGTGACTTACTGAATTTGCCATAATGTATGGGGGAGGCTGTTAGGGCACATTGCAGCCATCTGATAATGAAATCCAGTTTACCCAAATTAAGATGGTGCCTACTCCACGGCACATTAATTTACCTCCTTTTCTCATGTAAATAATACAAGTATTCCTAGATGTGCTTTTCATTTTTTCTCTAATAATCCTCACAGAGGAAACCATGAATGGTTATTTCTCTACCAATGAGTAGAACAAAGAAGGGAGAAACACATGAGCTTGTCCATTTGTTTGTATACATCTAAATAAACCTAAATAGTATTTCTACAAGGCTTTTCCAATAAGCAGAAATTTATTATTAAGATGTTGGAGATTTTTATTCCATTTAAATCAAGAAATGGCTATAAAATTCAGAAGATGACTTTTTTTTCAGGAATTCTGTCTGAATAATCCTTTTGAAACTGGATTGAAAATTTCTGATTTTAATCTGATAAATAAAAGAACAAAGCAGTCTGAACCTTGTAACAGATAATTATTTTGTTTCTGTGATAGTCATTTAATCTTCTTGAACCCCTGTGGTTTGTTTAAGCTGCTAGGACGACTCTACACACAGTTGCTTCTACTTGGGAGGGAGTGTTTATTCAGTGCCTATTGTCAATCAAATCTGTTCCTAAGCATTTCATGGTGTTAGCTTGCTCCATTTCCCATCAGACCTCCAAGGCAAGATCATCATGACCATTTTGTAGATAAGAAAACTGGGACCCAAACAGCTCCCTGATGCATCTCGCAGCCAAATGAACTTCTAATACAAGCATTCTGGATGGAGAGGAAAAAGAGACCCAATTATTAATATGAAAATGTTGACCTAGAGTGTAGTGATGCTATAGAAAAAATATATGTTTGTTTTATTTTATTTAAACAAATACCATTGTCAGGCACTGTGGTATTTTTTTAATAAACACCCTTAATTTATGAATAGCAACTCATTTAATCTTCATAACAACATGATGAAATAAATACAATTATCTCCATTTTACAGAAGAGAAAACTGAGGCACAGAGAAATTATAACATGTCCAAGATAACTCAGTAAGTGGTAAAGCAAAATTTAAGACCCTAGCAGGTAGGTTTCAGTGTCCATACTCATCACTAGCATACTAAAAAGTTAAGTTCAGGTAGCTGGGCAGGTCTGTACAGAGCAATCACCAGTAGTGATACATCTTCATAGTGCTTTCCACAGATTGAAGATTTTTGAATTTTGTGTATAGCTTATCTCATTGAGAGTAACAAGGCTTTATGTGCCTTTGCTCTGGGTTTTATAAAGTATAGTAAAAGATGAAAATTAGTTACTGAAAAGAGAAGTTACAGTGAATGCTCAAGGAAGGGGCTTTCCTTTGGAGAGGGTATTTTCTAACAATGTATTATTCATTTGGGGGATTGTAACATTTAAGTGAAACATATTCATAGAATTATTAAATTTGAAATACAAAGTGTAAAAAAGGGAACATTATCCAGAAATATTTTCCTGCAGAAGAATTTAAAATCTCTCTAGCTTTAAACCGTAAGTTCATACATATTTAGCATTAATGAAGAGTTGTTTATTTTTAAATGAGTGACTAAACTATCTCATGTAATAAACTATTAAAGGTGGCACCAAAAACATGTTTTACAATTTATTCTTTTCATTTTTTTTCACATTTTTGTAGCTCCTTGCTTGTCCTTGGGAATTTGCTTTTTCTAACACTTCATCAGTCCGCGTCTGCCCCCTGTGGCGAACTGAGAAGGCAACAGTCATATTGTACATAATAGTGTGGGTACAGAACGTGCGTGATGGCGACCCCTGCATTTCAGCACAAAATCAACCCTGTGGCTTTTTAGGTGTCACAGGGACCGTGAGGACTAGGAGAGGGGAAAGCAGTCCCAGGGTGCTTCTAAGGGAGGCTTAATATTGCAGGGCCACCTTGGGACGCATTCACTAGCCAGAGAAACCACTGCCAGGGAATAATCAGAGTGGGGTACAGGGTTTGTTGTTTAGCGGAGGCTCTGGGAGACCATAAGACAGTCTCTTATGGCTCAGGCCTGCCAGGCTGAACAGAAATGATCTCAGTTAGCTTGGAAAAGAACACAGTTGATCAATCTATGAAATCTATGTTTGTTAGAGAGTGGCTATGCTTTGTGGAAAAGAATAAGTCAAAATGGAGCCTTGATGTATTTAACATTTTACTTTGTTTTATCAAGGAGCTTCTAAATTATTCACACAGAGATATATACCTTGTTAAAATGCAGTTATGCTGACATCAAATAGAATTTTTTTGTATTCCAAATGCAAATATTCAGGCAGTATCTTTATTAAAATTTATTGATACATTGCATATATTTGTAAGTAGTCTGAAGAGAATAAGAGGTTAAAGGAGGTGAAGAAGGAAGACTGTATCAACGCTGACTCTGAATTAATGTATTTTCCCACCATTCAATGTTTATAATTTATTTTTCTACTGAGACAACATTGAAGTTATGGTGGAGAAATACCACTGACTTCAACTCAGAAACAGGAATTAAAATACCTGTTTCTCATCAAGTGTTGTGGAAAGAAGTGGGCCAGCTCACAGTCAGGGGAAGTGATGGAAGATGACATACCAGCCAGTGCCGTTAAGAGTCCTGGATCCACTCCCAGGTTTCTCACTCATCTGCTCCATGGCCTTGGGTAATTTACTTAACCTCTGTGAACAACAATTTCCATAGTCACAAACTAGGGTTGATAGAGTTACTGTGTGAGAAAACTCTGAGAAGCTTTAAAGTCTGGTACAGAGGCAAAAAATAAATCCAGGGTGCTCCCAGGAACTGCATTCCCAAGAATTGTCTTCTAAAAGATACCTGGCATGCATCAGGGCAATGACTTGGAGGTTTCCTTATAAGATGCTTGACTTTTGAAAAGGGTATTTTTCTGGAAAACTCAGGACCCTTCATTACTGGAGAAATAAGGCTGGTAGGGGCCAGATCTGCCTGTAGGAAACAGTTGGAAAATTTCCTTTCCCATTGCACACCCACATATTATTGGTGGCAAAAAAATATTGGGAACTCTTGATTCTCCTGGGGCAGGGGGAACATAGACTATTATAAATAATTTAATTGATATGATATGGCATCTGTTGTAGGGCAAGATTTTAGGCACTTTATGTACAACAGAGCCAATATGTGAGCCCACATACTAAGACACACAGTTGATTGACTTTTTGATTTTCAACCATAAAACATAAAATGTCCTATTTGTTTATTTTACTTGTATTGCTTTTTAGGACCTAAAGATTTGTGAACTCCCTCTGGTGGCTGAATAAAATATCATTTTTATATTAAAATGCTAAACAGAAAGAATGAGAAGCTAACATCTACATAGAACACCTTCTGTAGAACAGAGAAGCCTTTGAATGTTAGGATATGGCACCCATCAGGGCATGGTGGTGATAATGATGAAAAAGAACAATAAGGATTCTATTCAGTTCTGACTTGGTCTGATTGCCACAATCACAGATGCAAATGACCTGGCAAAAAAACAAGCAGAGAACGCAAAGCTAATTATACCTTTCTTAAAAAGTACAGAATTAAAAATGAAAAAAATTCTAGAAAGCAATAATAAAATTAAAAAAAAACATTCTGGAATTCACAAATAGTATCAAAAATTCCCAAGTGCTTAAATGTCAACAAATGCAGCATCAACAATAAAGATACATATAATGCTTTCATTTATCTAACCAATATGTTGTCTCAACAACTTTGTTATCTCATCCAATTTTTTTCTGTCTGGTCACTCAGAGCGAAACTACAATTGCTTTACTAGAGAAGTCATCATTTGAAACTCTGTTTGATAGAAGGATCTATTTCTCCTTCCTTCTTTGCTAGTTCTCATAAAAGAACAGGATCTGTTTTTCATCCCTTCCTCGGCCCTTCCTCAGCTCCTCTCATTTCCACAGAGCAGTGGAGCAGGGTCGCTGTGACCCTTCCCTTTGGAGAGTGGACTAAAGGCCTAACTGCCTGCTGGATATGAGATGGTGGAACTGAACATTTTCTTCTGAAGTTATAGGGAGTGTTCAAAACTGCTTCCCATTGTCAGGGTTCTTTATCAATGACATTTTCTTGGCTGGTGACATGAACAGCACTAAATGTGGTGGTATGTAGCTGCTCTGAAGGTAGAGAGGGAAGTGAAACAGTGGTTTTTACTTTTGGAAAATTTTCCAGGAGTGTGAAGACTATCTCCTGCTCCCAGTCATTCCAACCTTCACCAAATCCTCTGTGCTTCTCTTTGCAAGTGGTCTCCTAAGAGCCACCATACAGAAAATAAGTCACATCAACCTCCTCTTACCTGAGGGCAATGGGTTTTTATTACACCACGAGAAGTGAAAAAAAATACAGAAGGAAAAGTTCTCAAATATGGGCAAAAAATCATTTTTTTCCCCAGGTTTACAAGATTGGCATTCTTAGAAACCTCAAACACTTTCATGTGAGGAGAATGTATTTGCCCCCACTTCTGTGACTGCATTTTTATATCTGCTTACACATTCATCTTTATGTCACCCAGGCCATTTCTGGGGCAAATATGAGCAAAGGGAAAGAGGGCATCTGTCTGGCCGGGTCACATTGCCTCTGCTTCTCCCCACCCTGGAGGGCGCTAGTGAGGTAGTGACTGAACAATATGAGAAAAATCTTAAGAACTGGTAAACTTAAGAAAAAAATGTGATTGAGAACGATTCTTAATGTGGGAAGTTGTCAGACTTTAAGGAGACAGCAACAGGCAGCAAGGACCTGTGTCCACGTGGCTGTTCCCTCCCTTCTCTCAGCCACTTGATGAAGAAGATGAAGGTGAAGCAGTTTTATGTGTGTGTGTGTGTGTATTTACTGGATCTAAAAAAGAGAGAGAGAGAATGAAAGGGAGAAAAAGAAAAAAGGCCTGGGGCTGGGAGAATTTCTGAACATTCCATTTCCTCTGTAGGGACATGCATGAACTGGGTAGGTACAGGGAGCACCTGACCTCACTGCCATGACCACAGTGGGAAAGCAAGGTGTCCCCACTGTCAGCACCAGCCTATAAACGTTCCCTGGTACTAGGAGTCTGCAGAGCATACTTTGGGAGAACTTCACAATAGAACTCATAAAAATGTAGTAGCTAAGGGAAAAACTAGTAAGAGAGTTCCATGTGTGTGTTACATATATATATATATATATATATATATATATATGATACACACACATATATATGTATGAAGACTTCCCCCAATTTGTGTGTGTGTGTGTGTGTGTGCATGCATGCATGTATACATACATATATCAACTGTCCAGGTTCTTGTATTTCCAATTTACAATTCTTGCATGCCTTTGTAATTGTCTATTGATAGAAATCACAAGATCTTAACACTGTCTGCATAAAAACCTGAGGAGTTTTAAAAGAACAACAGCATCTGGGTCTCATACCCAGTAATTCTGATAATAGTGTCCTGGGATGAGGCCCAGACATTCGTATATTTAGGAGCACCAAGACAGTCAGGCTACAAATCCAAGATGAATACTCAAAGGACACCCTCTTCCTTCTTGGCTTCAGCTTCTTGGTTCTCTTCTCACTCTCCTTCCTTTTCTTGCCCGACATTGTTGTTGAGGAAACCTCACTATTTTTCTCTTTCACTAAGAGCTGGTTCAAAGGGGCAAGAGTAGGGGTGAAAAAGAAGCAAAAAGAAGGAGAGATGGGAGGGACCTAGGAGTTGCTCAGGACTAACTCCACCCCACACTGCCATGGTCCCAGCCCTCAGTGACTCTTCCGTGATCCCACATTCTATTCCCCAACTCAACCTCTGTGTCTTGGTCACCTCTTCATCTTGAAATCTCCCTGGGAAAGCCCCCTGTACGCTGGCACAGCCCCTGTCCTTCAGCTCGACCGTGTCGTGTCCTCTGCAGGGATGGATCACTGCAGAGTCTGTGACTGTGACTGCTGGATCAGGAATGGCCTGCCTGGCGATGCTAGGAAGCACTTGCCAGTCAGTGCCTGGCCCTGGGGGTGGACTTCCCTGTGCATAGGACATGATTGTCTTCTGAAATGCTAATTGTGACTCGTCTGGCCTGTTCCGCTGCCTAGTTTTCTTGGTTTCCCTCTAGGACTTGAAGCCCTTCCCAGACTCCCAAGGTCATGTGTCTGGGACTATATATAATTATTGTCTGGCCCGTGCCTGCATCCAAGGCTTAGCTCTCCAGGGAACACACCTGGGTTCTAACTTTCCAACTGCAACGTGAATCACACCTATCATGCCCTACCCATTGACTCGTTTGCTTGGTATGCACGCCTCCAGAGTTGGTAATGAGATAGACTCCTCACCATCTGTCTGCTCTCCACTGAGGCAGCCTCAGTAGCAAGGTCAGTGTCCTGGAACCCAATTCTGGCTCATTCTGCAGCTTGTAAGACCTCAGCAGGTCTAATGCCTGTTAGGACAGCTGCATCCAAGCATAAAACTCCAAACTCTTTACCATAAAAACATAGAAAGCAAGCATGAGAAAAACTTCCTATACACTGAGACACCTCATCACCTCATGCCATTGTATATTAACAGTGATAAGCTTTCCATTTCCATGAACACAGTAGTAATATCAGATACACTATGTATTAAATAAGATCCGTGGGTCTTCCTAAGATGCTGAATGCCACGACTAAGTTTGTTTCTATGAACAAAATGCATTGAATTCTAAAACATACAAATAACAACTTAAACTAAAACATCAATAGCACTTGGCAGATGTAGGTAAAAGGCGCTTTGTTGAAAACGTTTTCCAAAAGGAAGTTTGAATAACAAGATCCTGTCATCTTTTTGATATTTTTACTGTATGTAAAAGAATACATGCTAATCAAGATAAATAAGAAGTAATTCCATGTAGAGAATCAGCACACAGGAGTCTACATGATTTGTATTACTGGTGATATCTGCAAGAGAGTGTGTCCTCATGACATCTGCCCAAAGTGGGTTGTGCCATGTCATAATTTTATATACTGGAGAACCAATAAGTAGGAACGGTGCACTTGTTCTTGTTGCGAGACACCCTTAGCTTAGTAGAAGGACAGAACAAGTTTGCCCTTCATCATAAAATATGCTGTATTGCAACTCATAAAAAAGTCAGCATGCCCTTTTCCTTTTAAAAGCTGAGGCTGGCCTCTCCTCACTGGGTAGGTGTGTTCACATCTTTTTCCCAGTAAGGTCTGATTTCATCTGCACCACTGACCATTGGTTTCAATCAGCTTATAACTCTTCCTCTATGTGAAATTTTTTAGCCCTAAAAGAGAAATCTAGGATGACAAAAGGATTTGATGGTTTCTGTTAACATCATCTTATCCAAACAAAAATTCTCCTTAAAATGTTCATATGTTACTCACAGCAAATTCGTGGTAACCAGACTAGCACCTTCATCCCAACTTGTGCACAAGAATATATTGCATACATTTTGGACTTTCTCCCAAATTGTGTTTTTGCCAAGAACCACTAAATTCAGTCACTACCAGGTGACTTGCTCCCTACTAGGCAGCCTCATGGCATGTGGTTAAACCCCTGTGTCAGCAGCATTTCAAATCACTGCACTTTGTGGGTTGCTTTTAATTACCAAAATGAAGAATGTTCAGGATTCCGAGGCACAGGGTCTGCTGCTTCAGTTTGCAACCTCTGTGTGCTACCCTCGCATGGTGCACAGCAGCAAC